CGTTAGATGCTCTGCAAGATTCGGAACATCTGAGGGGCCCTGACCATTTTTGTATATTTTCCCAACACTTGGCAAACAATCTGTGAAACCTCAGTTTGATCAACTCTATAACATAGATAAATATTACCAATTACAATATGCATAGTATAACATCACAGTTAATACTTATTCATTTCACACAGGACGTCCAAGCTAAAAAGTGTCTATATTTGACCCATTAAACCTATAAAATTGAGAGTGTTGTGCTTATTAAGCACAAGGTAATCTAAATGCACACAATTTCAAATTTCATTTGATTATATTTTTCAGCTCTTAAAATATACATAAAAATAAAAATAAAGAATTGGTACAATGACATCATACAAAATGACAAGAATTTAGGTGGAAGGAAACCATTTACCAATTAATAGTATTTGTATTCTGCCACCAAATTGTTTTGTGCTACATTCATTACTTTAAAACAAGAGGAAAATGACATCCTCCATCTTTCAGGTACTATCACTGCACACCAAATAACTCCAAAACGTAGTAGTTAAAAAAAAAAAAAAAAAAAAAAGCATTTTTATCATATCATATGGATTATATAGGTCAGGGGTTCAGATGATTTTTTTGCCTCTAGTTCTAACCTATATAGAGGTGCTCAGTTTCACTGGGCTTGGGTTACAGGACACAACTCTGGGTTTCAAACCCCTCTCAGAGGTCTCAGGCTCTGTGCCCTAAAGGAAAGCTACTGTTGCCAGTTAGACCTATTTTCAGCAGCAACACAGGGAAAATGAGACCACAAGGGGCTGGCTCATGCAAATCCAGTGGCTGGGCGTTCTCAGTAGAGAAAGGTTATATAATCCTGGTAGTTGGATGACCTTCCACTAGAGGTGGTAGAGAGCACAGAATATTCTTTTTTTTTTTTTTTTCCTTTTTGTCTTTTTTCATGACCGGCAACGGATCGCAACCCTCAGTGTCGTGCCCGTACCGGACCGGGACCGGCAACGGGATCGCAACCCTCGGTGTCGCGCCCGCACCTCGCTCAGCCAGTGAGTGGCCAGTCTATATGTGGGATCCGAACCCTCAGCGGGAGCGCCGCCACACTCCCAAGTGGCGCACTGTAGCAGTGCAGCACCGGGCGGGCCCAAGAATATTCTTGAATATACCTGGTGCATGTGATACAGTTTGACCAATGAACAAGCTCCAAGAAGAGACCAACTGAGCACATGCAAGACTAATGTTACAAAACTGGGAACCACCTCCTTACCTGAATATTCATTAGATAGCATAACTATAAAAGCCAAATCTCAACAGAAGGTGGGGCTGTGCAACTTTCCTGGAGCCAGCCCACAGTCTCCATATGAAGTGTGTATTTCTTTCTTTTTGTATCCAATTTACTTTCAGCAAGCAGCTGCTCACTCTCTTGAGTCACCCTGCACTCTGTACTGAACTTTAAGTATTTATTTCTTGCTTTTGTTTTAAACTTGGTGTGGGCCCTGCTCAGTCTCTGGAGCTAAGCTGCACTCTGTGAAATCTGTATCTCTTATTCATTATATTAAACCTGTTCTCACTTTCCACTATGACTCTGCTCTTGAATTCTTTTCTGTGGCAGAGTCAAGAAACTGGTAAGAGGACAGGGTAAGTTGAAGCTGGCTGTTTGGTCCCCTGGACTCTACTTTCAACATCATGGCCTCAACTGAGGCCACTCCATAGTACTTAGCTCTGGGTGGGATGGTTTAAAGGGTTTGAAATGGCTGAACTCACATGTCTGGCACCCTGTAGGAATGGCTGGAATAGTGGGCCTAGAGAAGAATTCTTGTTCAGACCACCTACATGTGGTCTCTCTAGCTCATTGCTCTCAGGGCAGCTGTACTTGTTACATGGCAGCTGACTCCCTTCACAGGGAACATTCCAAGAGAAGAAGAAATTGCATGGCCTTTTAAAAAGCCCTTAGAAGTGATCTTATGTGACTTTTGCTGTATTATATTGGTTGAAGTAGTCACCAGCTCACTCAGATTCAAAAGCAAGGGACAGAGATCGCCTCAGCTCTCAATGGGAAGAGTGTCAAATAGTTCGTGCCTTTTTAAAAAAAAAAACGCCACACACCATCCTCAGAGATTATCAAGTAAATTAATTAAATACTCAAAGTTAAAGATTTACTACAATTTCAAATAATTTTTATTAAAAAAGATATAAATAAATCCAATTAATAAAAATGTAAAGTTAGCTTTAACCTTCTGAAATAATTCTGTGAATACTTTTGTCAAATTAATGATATTTCTTTTTTGACAGGAATACTTGAATGACCCACAGGACCTGCATAAGATATTTGACAGTCTGTGATAATAACTCTATGGAGAATACATGAGATAAAAACTAATACAATTAGGTAGGTTAGTGGTAAGTTTCCCAAGAATTGCTGTTAATTCAGAAAGAGTTCTAAAGGAAAAGAAAGTTGTGTGTCATAGACACAAGCGTGAAGTGGATTATAAAAATGTTGAATGACAGAATCCAAATTCAAGATATACTTGATAAAATAGAGCAGAATTTCTTTTCAAACACTTGTCTAATTGGATGCATTGTGAGTACAGGTTTCCATGTTTAATATATTTGAAAATATTACTCTCAGCTTTTGGAAAGTAACAATTAAAGAATATGTTAAATTTGCAGTAAAAAAAATGGTTTTTATTTTAAATAACTTTGACCATGAAGCCACACATTTGCCTCTCTTTTGTAAAATTATTCACTCACTAGGGAATGAACATGCCAAATATGATTTGTGAACTTCAAACTAGAAAATGGATGAAATTTAAAAAGATGGACTATCATGATGATAACTAAAAACTAACAACATGTACATATAACTTAGCAGAAGTGAAAAACATAAACAACTGAATCAATAGTAAATTCAGCATGAATAACACATGAAGTAGCTGCCAAAACACCTGACATTTGTTCCAATTTATTAGAAATATAAATCCATTAGAAAAGAGTTGAGATAAGTGCTTTTCAATGCATTGATAGAAATTTCCTAGAATAGCTTAGTTCTGGGTTCTTCATTATGAAAACGGTATTGGCAAAAATACTTAAATTTATAGAAGAGCAAATGGCTGAGGATCCAGGCCACTTGAGAAACTTTGTAAAGATGGGGAAAAATGCCTCAGACTCTTCTTGATTCCCAGTAACAAGAAGTTTTAAACTATCAGTTGAATGACAGCTCTGTCACTGGCTGCAAACCACGGACTAAAGTATACCAGAGGTGTATATAAAATCACACGGAGACGTTGACACTACACTCACAGAACTTGTCCATACTGTTCCTCACATTAACTCTTTGACCTGTTTTTTATTCACTGATTTCTGGGAACCAAGTGTAACCAAGCATTATCCCTGGGCTTGATTCATTTCACTTAAGACATATTTGCATTCTTCTCCCCTTATTTTGACCTTTAACGTATTAAGGCATAACTGAAAAAGGTAAATCTTGCCCTTCAGCCCTTTGCACCTCTGCTATTGGTAGGAAGCATTCCTACCTCCACCTGTTTTTCGCAGTCCAGTAGAAACAACAGCCTTTTCCACTTAGCATCTTCATTAGAGTAGGGTTTAGAATCTGAAAAGGTTTGAAAAGATTGTTCTTGAATGCCTTTTTCATTTTACATTCAATTATCTTTAGTGGCTAGGACATGGAATTAGCACCAGTGTCTTCTCTACAACTTTCTCCCATGAGACAAATACATTTTCCCAAATATATCAAAGGCGTTGGCAGTTGGTAACATCTTGAAACCATTTATACCTGAGTAGGTGTTTTCAAACGTGGGAAAGTGTGCATCATGGGCAATAATCAGGGAAGTAAAGACAATTCTAAAGTCACATTGCCTCACTGACAGTGATTGATCAGTGTTGCTGAAAAGAATCATGTTGCAACAAAACCCACCAACAGAGTTTCTGATGCCAGGAAGATGGTTGGGTATAGATTTAGTTATGTAATTGCCCTTTCAGATATGAAGCATTGACTATTCATGGTGGTGAATAATATGCAATATGCCCAATTCCAGGTAGAGGTCAAGGGAGAGAACTAAAGCATCTCTCCAGAGGAGGTAATTTCTATGGTTTTGAAAAAGATGAGAAAAACGTTAGAAGTCTACCATCACTGTTGTCACAGAATCACTTATTTTAATGATTTCCAGTGATATAAAGATACTTGCATGATTGTTGGTTTCATTGTGCCTGAAACCATCAATGAGCCAACTGTCACTGATACCACTTATGATACTGAGGACAAAAAACTGCATTGATCTTTGACGCTAAACATGGCACCTTGATATGTTCACCCTTATTACTGAGAATGAAATATTTAAAATCAAGTCTATAAGTAAGTACACTCTCTGGGTGGACAATGCAATGGTTAACCATTTTGTCACCAAGTTCAAGCGCAAGCACAAAAATATGTCATTGAGACAAAAATGGTGGTCTTTCTTCTGTACAGCTCATGAACATGCTGAAGTACTCTCTAGTAAGGCTCAGACCAGTATTGAGATAGATTTCCTCTATGAATAAATCTATATAGCTCATGCAACATTTTGAAGGGTTGGAAGCTGACATGAAGACCAGCATCCTGAACCCTATAAACAAAGCTTTATGCTTGGAAAGTCATACAGCCAAGTCATTATATGTATCTCCAGGTTTCTGAAACTTCTTCAAGATTTATTTAGTGGAAAACAATTAAACAAGTGTATAACCCCCAATAAGTCTGCTGTTGATGGAGCAGCTGACCAGTAAACCAAGTTGTCAGGAGACCAATCAGAAAATGTTAGGCTTTTCTCTCTCTGGATGTCACTCATCTTTCTCTTGATACTGAAATTGATAATGAAGGCATAATTGTTCTAATCAAGCATGGTGCCCAATTTTCACCAAGGAGACAGAGGTTTTCACTTTCCACTCTGACCACCACTTGGACTGATGAAGATGAGGAGGCAATGAAGAAGGGGAAACCTTATTTGGAAAGTTTGACATTTCAGGCATTCCTCATGAGCCATGTGGCATTCCTCAGCGGGAAGTCACCTTTGATGCTAATACCTGTGGCATCCTCGAGATGTCTGTGGTAAATCAGAGCACAGGAGATGAAGCAAGAATTATAATCGCTATTGACAAAGGCTGTTTGAATGAGGAACACATTGAGCTCATAGTCAAGAAAGGTAATAAATAACAGCCACTGAAGATGAGAAGCACAGAGACAAGATGCCTTCCAAGACCTTAGTTGAATCTTACACATTCAGTATGAAGACCACAGGAGGAGATGAGAAACCTCAAGGAGAGACCTATGATGAGAATAAACAAAAAGTGTTTCACAAGTGCATTATGTTTTCAACTGGCTGGACAAAAATCAGACTTCATGAAAGATAAATGTAAACATCAAAAAATGACCTGCTAAAGGTCTGCAAACCCTTCATTATCAAGCAGTTTCAAATTCAGGGGATATGCCAGGAAGGATATCTAGCAGCTTTCCCAGGGATAAAGCTCCTTCAAGAGGTATCTCTCTGGACCCACTGTTGACAATGGCTAACCTTCCATTCAGTCAAAATATTTTGAAGGACCAAATTTTTGCAAACTCATTCATGGCAATTGAATCATTCATAATACATTCATCGTGTACTAAATTTACTGGGCATTCTCAATAGTTGACTGCCTACCTAGAAAACTTTAATACCATTGTACTTTATCAGTGGTTATGTAAACGTGACAAAAATTCAATTTGCACTTTAAATAAAAAATTATCACTTATAGTGTGGTAGTAAGTGTTGAGAAAGAGGAAATTAGAGAGAGCAAGGGTCGATTTATCCCTACTTTTCTTATAACGGATGTTTCCAGGAATGTTGAAAGAATAAATACTTCCCAAAGGCACTCCTGCAACATTAATTTTTAAGAACATAAATACTGAGATTAAGTTTTTAGAGTTAAACCAAGCTATCTCTCTGTGTAAAAACTATCATGAGTAGATGTAAAGTTTATTCTTTTTAAGTATTATGAAATAAAGAAAAATATACTATTTATTTAATAGCTGTCTAAAAACTATAAAAATACATGCCTAAAAAATTTGCTCTTTTAAAGTATTAAGGAATGCAAGAATACACACCATTCATCTAATAATTATTTATGACCATCAGGTACTGCGCTTTGCATGCATCACTTAATTTAGTCTTCACGATAACCTTAAGAGTTTGCTACAAGCATCGCTTTTATTTTTCAAATGAATGCACTGACCCACAGAGAGGATGGGGTGCTTGATAAAAGTTACATAACTAAGTGTTAGCTTTAGAACATAAAATCAGGCACTTTCATTTTGGAGTTCATGTTCTTAATCAATTTTCTCCATTATCTCCCTTGATATAATATAACTTTAAAAAAGTATCTGTGTCCATCTGTTATTTAATAACTTTGTTACATGAGGAGCATTGCATTTATATAATGTTAATAGTTTTCCATTTCCAAGATATTAAAATTGCTAACAAATATTTACATAAATTCATCTACAGTAACACTAGTAGCAACAATGTAATTGAACTGTCAAACAATCATAATTCCCCCGAAATTACTGAAAATAAAAATATCATTTTTTACACTAATATTCCTAAAAAGGTGAATAATATCAAATTCAAAATTTCACTAATATGACATACCCCTTTAATTTTACGAGAGACAAGATTAAAATTCAACGTTTTTCAGAGCTTATTTACATTAGGCATATAAATAAAATAAAACTTATTAAACAAGTTCAAACTCTCACTGATATTTGGAAAGACAATTGTTTTTCTTATTTGGTATGGCATAATATTACAGCATCATTAAAGACAATGTCTTGAATAAAAAGTTTGGCAATGCTCATGCAGATGATCTGAGTCCCAAAGAGGGGTCACTAGCCAGCTGAGGGGCTTGTCTTTTGGATGAGATTTGTGACTGAGGACAACCTGTGTTCATTAAAGAACACCCCTGGGCTGCTGATCAACATTATTGTCAATGCTTTCAAATATTTATGAGGAAAATAATGTGAATGTTAATGTGATACAGTAGTCCCTGTATCCACCGTTTTAGCTAGGTCTTTAAACTTTAAGAGAGGGAGAGAAACCACATATAATATTGTTACAATTTTTCTGTCTTATTAATAGTGATTGTTGTAATCTCTTACTGTGCCCAGTTTATAAATTAAACTTTCTTATAGGTATGTATAGGAAAAAACAGCATATATCGAGTTGGGTACTATCCGCAGCTTCAGGCTTTCACTGGGGATCTTGGAACGCATCCCCAGATAAAAGGGGACTATGGCACCTTCAGTGAAAATCAAATCATTTATCTCACATCAAGATTAAGAAGCTACATTATCAGCTGCCAAAAAATGTGACTTTCATGCCAATACCTTACTTTCAGTTTTCTTTCCTTCCTATATTACTTGATGTGAGGGTAAATTGAAAGATATTTACAATAAACAGTGCATAATGTTCTCAAAAAGTCAAAGTGTTATTTCATGTATTGGGACTATTTTATGGTAAAGTGTGAGACACTAAACAAAATTCTCAGATAAAACTATTCTCTGCAAATATCAGTTACTAACGAGATGAAAATATTCTAGGCTAAAATATGATAATGGTTGCTAGAGCTGTAGAAAATCAAATGTATATGTAATTTAAATGTAAATAGGGCGCATTGGTTCTATCCAGGAATATAGACCTTATGAAAAACGTGTCATTTAGTTTGAAGAAACCATGCTAGATACGGAAAAGCTGAAAGCATACAAACATTGAACTTTAGTCTCTCTACAATCTACTAACTTTTCATGTCCATTAGTAGAGGAAATTAGGTACTAATATCAGAGTTAAAGTTAAAGAGGAATTTCTTTACAGGTGACAAAATTCATAGCTCCAAGATAAAAGGCTTCCTTTAGCCGGTATGGCAATTAATTTATTTGAAATTATAACAGACAAAATTTATGATATGCATTCTAAAGAATAAAATTTGAAGTGATCATAATAATCTAGGGCAGGGAACCCATATTGAATTTCTGGAAAATGTGATGCTATTTTGGAGAATGACCTGCTCTTAAGGGTTGTTCTCTTTCCCTCCTGCTAATTAAGTCATCATACATATGGAGATCGATATTGTAAAATCATGTATATTTTTAAAAACTTGCTTATTTACTCTATTAGGTCTTGCTTCTTTCTGTATAGTTTCAAAACAAATGCTTCTGTCAACCAGATTTTATTTGTGAGCAATGACAGAATATAAATGAGAAAATATCCTGGTAAAGAGAAATCTTTTTTTTTTTTTTTTTTCTGTTAATAATGATTTGTTCATAAGTTTAAGAGACAGTATCTTTGGTCTCAATCACCTATCCTGAAATTTAAGGTACTGGTCAAAATTACAGTAAGGACCAAATTGTGACTATGAATGGTTTTAAGCAAAATTGAAAAAAATATAATGGCACCACTATTTAAAGGGGTGAATTGACATGGGGTCTTTCATATTTTATTTGGGAGGGGATTTTATTAGAAGGTTTTTTAAAAAATTTATTTATTATAAGCATATTATTATTACAAATTATGGTTTTTCTTTATGCCCTTTACTCAACCTATCCCTCCCCAAGGTCCCCCCTGATCTTTCATATTTTAAAATCATAGAGAAATAAATATAATATGTGATGTTTTACTTGAATAATATTAATATCCTAATTTAAGTTAAAATCAACAGGTAATGTTCATTCTGACATTTATAACATTTATGAGTTATATTTATAATGATATTTTAGTCATAGTTTACTAATTTTATATTTACAAGAATATTTATAAAAAGTCCAATGTAAAAGGAATATATTCCTATACCCTTGAAAATACTACTTTGACCAAAAAAAAGAAAATCCAGTAACAGAGTAAAATGCTACATTGGCATTTAATGGTGTTATTTTAATTTGTAATGTTATGCCAAAAATGAACAAATTTGATCTAATAAAAATGAACAGCAGTGATTTTCATCCTCATCCCCTAGAAGAATATCTAGCATACAGAAGGTCCTCATTAAATAATTATTAATGAATAAGTCAGTAATAATAAAAGCCACTAGACATGAACATCAAGAACTAGATTTAATTAATTCACTTGGTGGAATGTTTCTATATTCAAATTTACCCTCTTTCCAACATTTCTTTTTCTTGCCCCATGTATCTCACTTTGAAAGGGATTATTGGGATGTGTTTTTTATATAAAATGGTGCCATCCAGCTGCTTTTGTTAAAACAGGATGCTTTGCTATTAATTCTAAGCAACAAAGTTCTTGGACTACGGATATCTTCTCCTATTCTTAAAACTGTTCCAGAAGCTTTGGAGATCTGTGTTCCCTCAAGAAGTTTTGAGAATACAGACTTAGACCAGGCCTTATGGCCACCATTGAGAGCCCTATGAATATTTTCTAATTTTGTAGTAATAATGTTTTATATTTTAAGGCATTGAAAGCATGAATGTATGCATAGCGTAGAAAACTATAGCAGCCGTTACATACATTTGGAATGCATCTCTTCGCTTCTTTTTTCCTCCCCAAAGCCAACTCTGTCATCTTCTATTCTAAAGAAGTTTCATAACTCATAAAAATTTAAAGTGTTTGGCTTGGGGGTGAACATCCACATTCCAGAGGAAAGGAAGTAAAAAGAAAGAAAAAAAAGACTGCCTATCAATCACTCTTACTATGTAAAAACTATTGTTCTTTTGCAGACAGCAGAAACTCAAATGTAGAAAAATAATTTGTTAAACCAAAGCATTTACAAAATAATACACAGTTACTATAGTTCAAAAAGTTCATTTTAAATACTCAGTCATCTAACTACATGAATTTTTAAAATGTCATTTTAATAGTATCATTTTAATAACTCACCACAAATGTTTTATTCATTAGAATTGGGTTACCAGCGTCTCAGAGAATATTATTTTATAAGATAATTTGCCTCTGATAAGCATTGCTTCCTCTCAATCTCTCTTTCCCCCTCTCTCTTTCTCTCTCTCTGTCTCACACACACACACACACACACACTGACTCACAAATATAAGAATGAGAAACTAGAACAAGTTGTGTAGAATGAGCATGGTCCTCAAAACTTATTCTTAAGCAAATATAGAAATATAGTATGTGCTCCCTTCTGTACTATATTTCCTAGGAATTAACTAATGCA